GGGCATAGAACGTATTTCGAGGGCAGAAGACGAGCTTTGAAAACTGTGTATGCGCTCAGGCCAACCGATTCTTATAGCTAATACTTTGGTGGTGACCCTGGGATGACTAGGACAACGGTGACCCGCAGAGACAATTATGCTAGGTAGAACCATAAATTTGGTGGGCCTAAAGGTCGTGATGAAGAAATACCTGGAGCTGTGACATTGCCTTTACGGACACGTAACCGTGACGGTAGTTCTAATTGTGTTGAGGCGGTATTGTTGAGCGTTTGACTCGAGCGGTGCGTTCGACTTCCAACAATTGTTAAACAAGGGGTTAATAGTTTTCTCAGAAAAAATGACGGGAGGTCAATGAGGCAGTAATTGATAGTTTAGGATGTAGAAAATATGTTTTTAGGTGCATGCTCTTACTCAAGCTTATGAGATGGCACACTCGAAGCAATATGAGATCATCCAAATGCGGCGGGAGCTGTTGCAACGGGCGAATTTCCATGACGGTCCGACCAGTGTCGTTAGTCCACTGATAAAAACTGAAGCAGGTACAACTTGTATTCTGATTGATTTCGTCTATTATAGTGACAGAACTGATGGTGAGGAGTGCCTTATTCCACAGGGTGAGGTTGAAGATGGTTGCCAGCTGACTTCCTAGGCTAGACGGTCGGAAGTTCTTGGAGGGTTCCCTTGCTCAGCAGCCTTTGAAAAAGCTTCCCCAGGAGAGCAAGCACTGGCAACTCTCTAGAAAATGAGTTCAGTAAAATGGAAAATCGACTGACACAGCTAAACGCATTGATCTTTACCCTGATGCCACAGCTTACATGAGCATTCCCTCATCCTATACTCAAATTTGAAAATTTTTCTCTGAGTTCTGTTCTGTTGTCAGCAAAAACACTTTGCAAGAGTGAAACCGCCCACAGGTTCCCTTTCAGTAACATTACCGGAGATTTCTGTCGATGCGTCTGGAACAGTGTCCATACATGACGAAGCTACGAAGGTCGATATGAAGTACATGGCAGATGACGCTTCAACTGTCGACCCTAAAGAGGTTCGCCTTTACATTAGTTTATAGATTTATTTGCTATTATATCGACTAGGTAAGGACTTGTACCAACCAGTAGCCAGTAGTCGGATTCACGAGGGAAGGAGGGAAGTAGATTTTCTTCCTGAACCACTTCGCCTCACAATTTCCCCACTCACAGTTGTCCCATACTCAATGTCATAGCCTTGTTCATGTGAGTGTGTAGGTAAACAAGGGTATTCCAGGTCGGTCACAACATCTACATTCTCGCTCATCAGCTAGCCAGACATAGCCCCGAATTAGCTCAATGCCTTGATCCGGACGACGATAAGAAATCTGTACAGACNAGGAATGCACTCGAGTTCTATAAGAAACACACGGCACAGATTGAGGTATGTGTTTTACATATAATTACATAAATATTATATAAAGTTACACCTCAAATGACTAGTACAACTCAAAAATTTCAAGTACCATAAAGTACCCTTGCAGTTCTAATTTTGCGCCAGCGAATAGCGTAAGCTTCGTTTATACTTCTGTTCTTCAGATCGTCCGTCAGGATCGCACCTTGGAGCGTGTCGTGTTTCCCATACATGAGATTTGCTCATTTCTCACAAAAGAAACAAAACAAAATGTTTATAACAATACGGAAAGGGACAATCAGGTACCGTACCCACCTTCTAGCTTTACTTCCACCAAGTTTTTAAGCTGTCGTTGATGGCTCTTTTTTACTTAAACCTAATCCAATTTGATTTGGGTAGCCAACGATTAGTATGCAAACGTCTCTTCACTCTTCCTCTCTCTATTTCTCTCTTTTTCTTTTTTCTTTCTATTTCTCTTTTTCTTTCTCCTCTTTCTCTTTTCCTTTCTCCTCTTTCTCTTTCCCTTTCTCCTTCTCTTCCTCTTTCCCTTTCTCCTTCTCTTCCACTTTCTCTTTCTCCTTCTCTTTCTCTTTCTCTTTCTCTTTCTCATTTTCCCCCTCTCTCCATCCTTCGCTTCCTTGGGCCATTTCACAACTTTCAATCAGTCTACAGCTTCCGACCAGCGAGTACTTTCAGGGATCCAAAGTTACGGAATTTTTCGATCAATGGCCTGCAATGTACCAGGAGATGAAGTGGCAACGCAAGCTTCAAGGTAAGTAGAAAACTCGAATGATGTTTGTTAATGATACACTGAAAATTCAGAGCTAGATCTCTGGCGACTCGCCAAAAGTATATTTAGTGATTCCGACCAATTTTCTACTGTGTTTCAGATCGACCATATCTTTCTGCATGCACACAACGTCTACGATTGTGGGGTCGTCTAGCTTTTCTATTTGCTGTACTAGTCAATATAATTATTGCTCTTTATTATCCATTTGAAACAGCTGACAGTAAGTATCACCTAAAAAATTAAATGATTTAAATGGTCAATAAAGGCCCTGATGAATCGTTTCGTTTTCAGCGGGTCTCTGTGCATCTAATCCTTTCATGTACACATCATCTGTGATTTCTATTATTTTCCTTTATTCACAATGGGACGAGAAGTGAGTTTTACTCTCTTACTATATCCATTTTTCTGGGTTTCTCTTTCTATTTGGATTGGGATAAATATAAATACGAAAAGGAAACAGAAAAAGAACCAGAACTAATCAAAAAAGGACAGTCAACGAAAAATTTTGCGCCCTATCGATTGGTGGGGAGGCGGGCCGAGTACGGTAAATGCAGCCTGAAGCCGCGAGACAACTAAAAAAGATTTGCCACAAACGCAAAGCGAAAGCGGGTCAACGTTCAGTCACCCCGATTGTATGAACAGTTTGCCCTACCGTGTCACAACTAACTAACAAGTACGACTAACGCGGACACTGCGCGTGCCGAGACAACTATTCAGGGATCGTTGTGAACAGGGAATAACGTCATACACCGAGTATGTACATAGAATAATCTGCCACTATCCTTCAACCTTTCTCCTTCAATAGTCCTCTTGAGACAAAATGAAGCCGATGGGCTTGAAACAGTAGAAAATTGGTGTATCAATTAAAAAATCTGATCAATTATCGATTTTCAGCTCTTCTTTGGCGAAAAGTTCGAATATTATAACGGCAATTGGAGCTGTGATGTTTAGTGTGGCAATATTGCTCATCTCATTATTAGGTGTAGTACCGGCATTGTATTTAATAGGATTGGCTCAGGTAATTATTTTTTTATTGTTTACTGTTACTATTTGAGTATTTAATTAGACTAACTGTTTACCTATTCATTTACAAAAGAATTATTTCGACTGAAAATTGCTAGGCTTCATGAACTTTTCAATGATAGTCTCTAGTTCCAATCAGTACACAGCGTTTAATTTTCTACCGTAATTACAGTGTTGAACTATCTGATTACATGTTTACTTTTACATCTTTGACATTGTTTAGCTTGCAAATAAATGTGTACATCTGGTGGCGTATGCTAGCAATAAAGGTCTAGAGGATAAATCATGGTCTGTACGAATGTCAGATGGAGAACTGCACTATCACATAAGCTATCTGGTCGTCTGTTTCCTTGGTCTCACTGTTCATCCCATGCTTTATTGTCTTTTGGTGAGTATTTTATCTTATTTGATTTTTCTTCATTCTGTAAAACAGCGGATTTTAGGAGAGATAAAGCTTTAAAAAAGTGTAAGAAAGGGTTGTTCGAAGTAATGCGCCTATGACAGTCTGGGTGTATCCCACATGAGCGTACTATTCGTCGGCGTCCTAACGCCTCATTGTGAATGGTGAAGCCACAACATAGACGTCATACCACGGGCACTTTTTGATGTGTGCCGATCAGGCCGGTTTTGGAGCCAAGTAGGATCCCGACTAGGTTGTTTTTCGATCCGACGATATTCCACGAGTAAGAAGCGAGTGTTCCACAAGTAAGAATCGAGTGGGGCGTACCAAGACAGACCTTGACCCCCTCCAATGTTCAATATACCTATTTCTAGCTGCCGATGTCTTTTATCTACTTGTTCACCTCAGAGCGAGAATTTTCATTGGGAATATTTAGCTGTTCGATATTGTTGCCAGTGAAGAAACACTTCGTAATGTGATCGCTTCGGTAACCAGAAATTGGCAGTCAATTATTCTTACCGGTTTGTTGGCGCTCATCCTCGTCTACATCTTCTCCATTGTCGGCTATACATTCTTCCAGAAAGGTCAGTTCCACCTGATTAGTCGCCTTAATATCTTTTGCTGATGGAGTTTCATTTCAGACTTCTCCCTCGAAGTAGATCCATTGGAAGATGATACTCCAGTAGCTACGATATTTACAAAAGATCCTGCCCCAGATACATGTAGTGCTGATGGTGGCTGCCCAACACCTGCGCCCGTGAAGGAAGAGGAAAAAGACGACAAAAAGGATGGTAAGCCGTGCCGTGCAGGTCAGTACAATAGTTTAAAGACACTGAACTGTTCAAATTCGATTTTTAGACGATAAAAAAATTCCATCATGTACAACACTGCGAATGTGCATCATTACGACATTGAATTGGGGATTGCGTAATGGTGGTGGTATCGGTGATGTATTGAGGAATGTCGGTCCTGATGTGAGTTCGAACTTACTGTACCACAAGTAGAACTACGATTTGAGACTAATAAAAAACCTGATGGTGGAACCTGCGTTTCCTGTTTTCTGCTAATCTGGTCTCACAGTCAGTGTTCTCTAACCCCACGACTATGGCTGTGTTAGCTTGACCTCTTACTCACTGTCCTTTTTCTAGTAGTCAGAGGTCGGACTACTGTTTTCAGGAGAGACTCTTTTACTACCGTATCGTCTACGACTTGTCGTTCTATGTGGTGCTTATCGTTATCACTTTGAACCTCATTTTTGGTGTTATCATTGACACATTTGGGGATTTGAGGACAGAAAAGAATGACAAGGAAGATGTGCTGAAGAACACTTGTTTCATTTGTGGATTGGAGCGTGGAAAGTGAGTCCACACCTGTTTATTATCTTCAAGGAAATGAATTTAAGTAGTAATATCCGTGAAGTAGCGTATTGGCTTACTTTGCTTTTGTTGACAACGGAGTATGTTGAAAGGTTTCCGGGCTTGTTACATGTGCATAGTGCAAATTTAAAAAAAAATCAGCGTAGCAGTTTTCTGTTCGAGAACATCCCTACGACGTAATGCTGGGAAGGTTGCACTTCAAATGGCCCTGTTTATGACCTCATACAGGGCCGTTCCTCTTCAGTATGCACCACGAAATTGGATTCCTGAGAGACTTGACTTAGTTCTCATGCATGAATTTTGCCAATCTGGACGTGGAAGGAATATATTCATTTAGGAAGAAAGGATTGGTTCAGTTACAAGTTAGCCCAACACGAGTCCCTTCCTGACGCCTTTTATTATTAACTTGGTTTATTGGCTGTCTTGTGCTTCAGGTTTGATAACCGACCGGTGACATTTGAAGATCATCAAGCTGAAGAGCACAATTTGTGGCATTACCTTTANCTGGACATGGAAGGGATATATTTATTTAGGAAGAGCTGGATTGGTTTAGCTACAAGTTAGCCCGACACGAGTCCCTTCCTGACGCCTTTTATTATTAACTTCATTTATTGGCTGCCTTGTGCTTCAGGTTTGATAACCGACCGGTGACATTTGAAGATCATCAAGCTGAAGAGCACAATTTGTGGCATTACCTTTACTTCATAGTATGGCTACAAATCAAAGACGAGACGGAATTCACAGGACCGGAAAGTTACGTCGCACAGTGTGTGAAGGTGAGTGACAAACCACTATTCTATTAGGAATCGTAGTGACATTTGGATCTGTTTGGCTCATATACTACTATTCGGGCCATCACCCAGGTAAACAAGCAGTCACACCTTGAACCAGCGCTTTTGTCCTTCTATCCTTCTAGGGGAGCTTGATGCCTTCTCACGGGCCCCGAAAGATGGAACTCGGTCGCGGCTGAGTCTCCATGATCAGGTCCAGTGCCCTAGGTGTGGTAGGGGGGCGCTACTCCCTACGTCGCTTGTTTATACTCACCTTTGCCTCATTGTTTGTTTCTACCGTAGTCAAAAAGTGAAGTAATCGTGTGGAAACAACTATGAATGAATTATGTCTAATCCCGTAGTACAAGCACTTCCACTCTCTATCTTTAGACATGCAGTAAGGCATAAGTCAGAAGTGCTGGGAGCAGACTGATTGATCGAGCCGTTTAGGACCGTAATCTGGATTGGTTCCCGAGAATGCAAGCGATATCATTACAAGATGGTGACAGCGAAACCGATCAGCCGGAAATCGCCGCCATTCGTGAGCAACTACGACAGCAAGATCAGTCTATACGCGATTTGACGGCTTCAATTGATGACCTTAGACAGGTGATGGCCGGAATCATTCAGCAAGGACGTCGTACAAGTGTAAACTACTAAGTGACATGTATGTATTTTCAGTTTATCCTCGAATTGAGATCATAAAAAAGGTGTCCGTATTAGTTAGCGGAGTATGGCGAAGGCTCAATGTGGATGTGACCGATACCGTAAGGTGTCTTAGATTACTGTATTGTTGTAGTCAAATATGTGATCGAATGATGTGCAGAATAGTTTTTTTTTCATGTGTGTGTGTTGATGAATCCCTTAATAAGAAACACGTGTCTATTGTCGCATGGTCGTTGTCGGCGTATCAAATCTTCACTTCTTGTTGATTGTTCTGTTGTTTTCATTGAATTTTATATGTACATAAATTCTACAGCGTAGACAATGAAGAAAGGAATGAAAGTTATTTGTTCGGTTATCTTTTCAGTTTTACATTTTTTAATGATATCGGCCGAAAACTGTGGCAATAGTGCTGACTGACATACAGTTCAAGTGGTATGGTCTGGGGCAATTTTTATTTAGCTACTTACCCATTCAGCTAGGTGATACAGGTGATACCCTTTTCCGAACCGTCTCTAGCCACTACCATCCTGATTTGGCTCAGAATTGAATTTTTGTCGCCTTTGTCTCTATACGAAATCGTATCAAAACAGGCCAGTGCTGATGCGATTCAGTGTGAAAAGTAGGTAGGTCGACTTTAAAAGGCACACTTCACATTAAAAACGGATTTTGAAATTCCTCCCTTCAATGAACATGCGACCTTTAATGGTATTCCAGGGGACGCTGTCTTGGCGCTAAAACCAAGCTCTTTTGGAGCCCCCAAATGTGGGCTTTCGAACCGGCTTAGCCGACGTACATACCCAAGCCGGAAAAGTTCTCAAGTCCATATCTGCACGCAGGCAGCCTACTGCAGCCAGTTATATGCAGCGATGCGCGCATTCGAACAGCTCTCCACCTCTTCCAACACCTATTTCTTCCACTTTTTCAAAGCCTCATATTTCTGCAAATGCGTCGATTTTTTTCGCAGCTTTGGCACTACTCTGAATTATCGCTTCCGTTACCTCCATTATTCGCTCAAGCTAGATAACCCTGATTTATCGTGAAGTGTGCCGTTTAATCAGGAAGGGTATGAACGGAAATATTGTGCTAGAGGTGGCGGTAGCTCACTAGAACCCTGCTCTATCAAAATAGATGGAGCTGACCCGATCAGAGACCTCATTTAAGACATACCGAAGTTTTCCGTTGACGCCAAAGCCTCACGCACCGAGGCCCCATACCGTCTAATGTGTAATACTTCTACATGAATTTTGGCGAAGGGACATTATTCAATGAATTTCGGTCTGAAGCTGCTTTGATCGCTATGGCGTCTTTGAAGAGTGCTTTGTTCCCTTCCTGTTACTGACGCTGATTTTGATGCCATCCATTACAGCTTATTCTAGTCATTGAGTTTACCCTTAATCTGTGATCTTTCTGTTCTTCTTTCGGAATTTTTATTTCCCGAACTCCACACAAATTATTCCAAAGCACAATAGATCATCACCGATGTCAATAGGTGAATGATTCAGGAGAACGGAAAGTACAGGTGCGATAAGAGGTTCAAATTCGAAGGTCCCTTATCACTTTTCAGACTAGATGCAAATTAATAATTAAAATCAATGATAACGGACTCGATAAACATAACTGGGGTCATCATTTGGGAGCGATCAGTAAAGAGCCTTACTAGTAACTCTGCGCACTTGTGGACCGGGTGCTGACGGCGTATTTTTCGGAACTAAACTCAACGAAGCAGTATCTGAGGCCATTCTTCGAGGGGCGACCACAGCGGGTGCCGGCTTGCTCTCCACTTTGGGCTCAGCTGCCTTGGGTGGAGGAGTTTCTGCTGTTGGCTTTCTCTCTACTCTAGGTTCAGCTGCCCTGGGTGGAGGAGTTTCTGCTGCTGGTGTTTTTCTCTCCACTTTCGGTTCAGCTGCTTTGGGTGGAGGAGTTTCTGCCGGCGTTTTTTTCTCCACCTTGGATTCAATTTTCCTGGGTGGGGGCGCTTCAGCTTTCGGTGAAGGTGGTTTAGTCTCCGCTTTTGGCTCAGGTTTTTTATTTACAGGAGCTTTTTGTTCCGCCTTGGCCACCTCTTTTCCCTTGTCTGCTTTTCCTTTAGCTGCTTCAACAGTACTCCTCCGGAGTTCTTCCTTTTTGACCGGAGGTTTTGCTTCTTTTTCAGAAGGTCTCTCGAATTTTGCTTTTTGTTCCATAACAGGTGGGACTTCCATTTGAGATCTCTCCATTTTTGCTTTTTGTTCTTTTACAGGTTGATTTTCCGCGTTAGTTACTTTCCGGGAGGTTTCATCATCACAAGCAGTTTTGTCCAATGATAATGGCGGAGGATTCATTTCAACATTCTGTTCCTCGAGCCGTCTTCTCTTCCTCAGCACATCTCCTCCCCAAGCATTAGGTACATACTCTGGATGAAGAAGCATTTCGTCTAGCAGGATACGTTTCGCCTGAAAAACGCGTAGCTTTGGGAAGCTCAATCTTACCTTTAGGGGGTTTTGTCCTGCCGTCTCTTTCGAGACCGTGAAACCGTCAGGCATGACCTCGGTCACCGTCACCCNCCCTCCTCTTGGAGAACAAGACCTCTCCGAATCGGAATCGGAATAGCATCCAGTCTGCAGATCGTGGCTAGGTGGTTAGATCGTTACCACGGCCCATGGTCATAATTGGTCCTATCCAAAAAATTTTATGTGAAGCGCTTGCCCGACGAACCTTTGCCGAGTTCAGCAGAAATATTCGAAGCTCGTTGTCGACGAAATCATCGAACAAATTCGATTTGGTCAGTATCACTTCAATAGCATGAGAAAGCGCTTTGTCAATAAGCATAACAACCTGAAGGAAACACTCCATCACTTTAGACAAAAAAGACTACGGTATACTTGACTCTTTCGGGAAATTGAATAAGTGAAAAACCCACTACAGCTGCGATTATCTGATTCAACTTAACGACCACTCAAAAAGACCCACCGTAGGCGTTGGCCTCGGATCGGAAGCTTCAAAAAAACTGCGCAATAGTGTCCGTTCAACATTTTTGATGGTGTCCTCGAGCAAGTGATTCCGATGCATGATCTCCAAACCACGTAATGCAATTGCCTCCTGTTCTGGTGTCTGAAAATCTTCCCTTCGGATTTTTTGGTCTTTTTCTACTGGTGTGCGTATCTATGGAGAACTCTCCGCTTAAGAGGGTGTTATAGGGTAAGGTGAAGATTAGAAATTAGACGTTCTCCAAAAAATCGCAGAAACTCACTCTGACGTGTAACTTAGGGGAAAAGTCCACTCGGATAAGGTCTCGGGGACCAATTCGGCTTCCCATTTCGTATAGCATATGTTATGAATTCCCACTTACCACCTTTTCCTCTTGTCTATGTTCTTCGGCAGAAGCACATCGTTGCAGATATGCATTCAACGATATGAGCTCCTCAATTTTCTGAAAAACCTAGTCAAAGGGAGGGTTAGCATTGGAGTAAGGCTACTTTTATCACCGATCGCACCCCAAATTTTGTAGACGTTTCATCGGTCGCAAATGGGTGTTTTCAGAGTGCAACGACCGACCGACGGTGTTGCTGGTTACGTACTGGAGTGATTGTGCTCAGGGCCGTGTGAGTCATGAGGAGACGTGACCCATTGATGTCCAGTGTTGTCAACACATAGCCAGCAACACAGTCGGTGGCTCGGTCGGTCGGTGGATCGTTGCACTCTGAAAGCGCCCAATGGTCGCAATACTGTAGCCGCAACGGAGAACTGAGAGGGCTAAGCTTTGAGCGCAGATGGGACCTGAACGCTTTCCCGAATCGTATGGCTCTGTGCTCATTATCTCTTACAGAAATACTTCGCTTTAGGCATTCGAAATCGACTTTCAGGACAACAACATGTCATGCTTTCACTAACCTTGTCTTTTTCTCGAATACGTTTTTGCATTCCTTTCATTTGCAATTTCAACTTTTTGTTTGCTAGCTCAAGCTCCTCAATTCGAAGGATGAGTACTTTCACTTCAGTGGAGCTTTCCTGATGATTTTAACATATCATTGGATTAAACGCCTGATTATAAAATGAATTCGAGTTCATTTACGTCCCCACATGTTGCTAGAAAATATTAGTTAGACCTATCTGAAGCTATTTGTAACTACGGGTCTACCAAAAGCATTATCACATGGGTGTTACGAGAACAAGTTCCATTATGACTGTATTACAGAGTTAAACCCAATGAAAAGCACTCACTCGACTTAAACCTCCTTCTGGACTGGTTTGTTTGCCAGGATAACCAGCCTGAATACTGGAATTCCAGATAAAACGTTAGTAATGAACTGAAAATATTAATTCCCAATCAGGACCTCCATTGAGTAAGAAAAAGCATCCCCTTATCCCCAAACTTTCCTACTTCCGGCAGCGAAATGGTCTTCTAGCTTTGACTTTTGCCCGAGGTTGGACTGACAAATCGTCCATATAAAAGGGAGCATTTTTTTTGATGGAATTCTGTCCACGAGCCCATTCTCCCAATTGAATTGAAATAGATAGTGGGAGGGTGTCTTCCTACAATGGTGTTAGAAAAGTATATTGTTCACGGAAGGAGGTTTTGAAAGGCCTAGGAGGATTTTTTTCTCCGTTGGACCAGTGTCATTCAGACGCTTGGAGGGAATTCAGACACTTGGAGGGAGAGTTTGGGTTTTAAAAAACATGCCATTTCGACATATCCCCTTGAGGATCCTATGAATTCATGGGACCGACTTCATTCTGATGGGCGAGGCGACCCCTTGGGTTTGTAGGTTAACACATAAAGTCACTGTCGGGATGTGTTAAACGCTGATACTGGGTCGATTCTTTGGGTAAAACCTCTTGGCATAATAAGCCCATTAAATTTCTACACGTTGACTACTCAAGCATATGCCTGTACCCAATCTGACTACGTCTTCACCAAGAGCAGCATCAGTCTGTCGGACTGCTCAGTGTCTCCAAACCTAGTCCTTATTAATGACGGGGCTTCTTCCTGGCACCTCTATCCTGGCTCTACAATTCGTTCCGGTGTTCGAACTTTTGACAACACGATTCTCATCCTCACCCTACTCTTGATTTCATTTATTTTTTGATCCTGTGCCTCCGATTCTGAGATAGGTTCTGTTAAATCATCTGTCCTGAAATTCAAGCGCAAAATTAGATCGTAGTATCATAAACACATTGATTTGGTCACTTCTAATTTGCTGATCTTCCTTCTGTCGGCGCGGCGTTAGTCTGACTGCAGTGCATGATGGCTTTCAACAGCTTTTATAAGAAGCAACTTCCCTATGCCACTCCTACGCTCCACCCTGATCCTATTGGTCAAGCTTATTGAAGCCCTAGCACCTTGCGATACAGTAACCCGCTGTAAATTTCGTGGATGGATGCATCTCGGCTCTTGATTCACCTTCTGCATTCACTGTTAGACTTATTAAACGCACTTTTCAGCGTCCTCGCTGGCATCACCTTTTCAATACGCCGTATTTTCAACATAGAGCGGAGGTGGTGCAGTGGCAAGAAGCGCATGGTCACAGATTTGAAGCCTAGATCGATGTCTGCCTACGCTAACCAAGCCTTCCATCCCTCCGGGGTTGGTTATTTAGCATCGGACGCGTCGGGAAGAATACAAAAACTGACTTATACTTCGGCTAGCCACCATTGTACAGGCCACGTACACATTCAATACGCCACTACACCTCTGAGCCAAAGTCGAATGCAGGGTGCATCCCACAGTCGGGATGAATTAACCATCAAGGACTTTACCCTTTACCTATTTTTATGTATTTAACGAGCTGTACTTGACCGATTCAGATGCCTTCTGTCTTATTTATGTGTGGGTTACAGTATACTAGTAAAATCCCTGGATCGCGAAATGTATCATGTTACATGATTTCTCAAAAGATCGGTCCTTCTTATTCGTTCAGAGGAAGTTGAGCAACCTACAGTTCAAGAGCCCCTTTGCCATTGCTACTGCCATTGCTATGTCCTGTTCCGTATGACTCCTTTCCGTTATTCTTTGCTTTCCACCTAAACATCCAAACTCCTTTGTTATATTTTTTACCAACATTCTACAAGGATGGTGAGCTATGGGCGAAAAGTTTGGTCCCGGACAGGAGCTGTACCCGTAACCGCATTTTCCCGATGCTTTTCTCGTTATGTCTTCAGCAACAAGACGTCTCTTTGCATCCTTCCATGGCCGTGGTATCTTCCCCCCAAAAAATGTGTCGCGCTCGCGCGCGACAGAGAAGGGTTTGAATGTCTACTAGAAAAGCGCGCTTCGTTGCGCGCGTCCGTTGAAACTAGGTCACGCCGCAGCCGTCGCACGCGGCGGGTCAGCCCGCGATACTTGACAGACGTCGCAGTTGTCAGTGGGGCATACAGTTTGCGTTTCGTCCACGGCAATCAGCCAAGGAGGAGATAACACGAACAAATGCAAATCATTCGCTCCACTGACACTTGGTGTTACTGTAATGTCATCGCGAGACCTCAGTGGGCCTACGGACTACTTGAACTCGGTTCCTTTAAATTTGCCGGATGCGTCATTTTTCTTCCCTCGTCTGGCGCACTCCCGTTTGATGTGTTCTTTGAGTGTTGTGCTCGCCTGTCCAATGGGACCCCCACCACCACCGCCGTAGGCTTCACCCGGCGTGTTTTTCTCTGCGCTCTAGCTTCTTGCCGTCAGGGACGCAGAGAAAGTTCAAGTAGTCACGTAACCGGGTGCGCCGCGAGCAAAGTGAGCGGGGTAACCTACTTTCGACGGACGCGTGCAACGGACGTTCGCCCTACTAGAATGATACGGTAGTCGCCGGTGAACCACTGCAGCTCGTTGTGAGAATTTGGGAGGGAGTACTGTCGGCCCCTTTTCATGATATTTCAGCCATTTCTTTCATTACCCATACGTATGACGATGACGACGAAGACTTGATGTCGTTCCATGCTGGGTGTTTCACCCATAATTCAAGATCTTCATGAAAGCGCCAGGATCCCCACGAGATACGCCAGATCCGAACGACATCAAACCCTGTCCGAACGGGCGTTTATCAGCCTGCTCTTCTTCTACATATCACATCCTCATTATTAAGGTGATCATAACATTACTTCAACTTATGCGTATGCATTCTAGTTGCAGCTGGACGAGCAACGGCGTTCACGTTCTCGAATTCCTCTTGATCTTCAGTAGTTCTCCTGTAGGACTGAAAACGTGACTGGTTAATAGACGTCTGAGTAATAAACACGAAACAAATGTAAACCGTCACTTACTTCCTCATCGTCTCTACTTATACCTGAAATATGCAACAACAATTTTTCAGAATCTACAGGAAGCGCTTGAAGCTTTACGACACTAGGGGATTGTAGTGATCTTTCGTGGATGTAGTTGTGCTCATGCAGCAAACGTAATGAGATCGTGAGCTTCAATCGGGGGTCCTAGTGAGGTTAACCTTTCAAATGGAGTAGGGGAAGCGCTTCGGGAAGACAGCATGCCTTTTTGGTTCATGATTGATATGATTTCTGAAAGACCTGTTAGACTACGTATTTCCTAGACATGTTTCGTGACCGACGGCCTCCGAACGCACTTTAGAAGTGTTACCTCAGAAATATTACTGAATTCATGCACCGTAGTAGTAAATGCTTATAAAAGCACTAAAAAAGGGCTGGAGGACATGGTTCGGGAATAACCGCTTCAAGATTCTTCGAAGAAGAGCCTACAGCCTCTGAAACCCCGTGTGAACTTGTCCGCTTTCGTGTATGATATATCGGACGTATATCTGCTAGGAACTTGGTTCGGATAAAACGCCTCAAGGATTTCCGAAGAAGTATAAGGATAAAGGATAAGTCTTGGGGCGTCGATCAATCTTGTCCGAGAGACACTCCCACGCATTCGACTTCCATTCAGAATCGTAGTTGCGTAATGAATGCGTATAGGGGCTATACAATGACCTGCGGTGGCCAGCCGATGTACAAGTGAGTGCTTCTATCCTCCCAGACGGGTCTAGTAGCAATTAACCAATCCGAAGGGATGGAAGGCTTAGTCGGCCTAGGCAGAATCGATCCGGGATTCGAACCAGTGACAGTGCGACCAACACTTCCTAGTACACCACCTTTGCCCTTTTTCTGAAGAAAAAAAAATCAGTGATTTAGCTATGCATCGTAATGGAACCCACCATATTTCATTCTGATGTTACGACGTCTTCTTTCGACAGCTGCATCTTCTGCGGGCGGCCCCCTTTCCTCCGGAACCTGAGAATGAAAGCGATTGAAACATCAATTCCAGTTCAAAAAACAACTTACCCGTGGAACTTCTTGCTCATTCCCTGATGACTGACCTGAAAGATAAAATGGGAAGCTCTGGCTAGAGGAGAAGCTCCGTTTCCAATGATTGGGCTGAGATTACCAAACAACCTGTGGGGGACAAAATACTGTCAGTCACCGAAGTTTGGGGACTAAGTTTGGCGTTGGTTGGAGTTAGATTCCAGCAAACCCCGTGCATATCGTTCATCCTTTACTGGCATGGAAGAGGAATTCATCCATCCAATCGATTAAACATGCCTCTTTCACCCCAATGATGGGCTCCTCCATGAAGCAGTGCATAACTGGCTGGTCAGTGATTCAGGTAGGTAAGATAACCTAAGATAGTAACGTCATAATGAAGTATGGTAGGTTACCTACCGTACACGTACCTAAATCACTGACCTCTTTTTCAAGATATTGTTCATCATACATGCTCTGCTCTGGGAACTTTTAACTTTAATCGCTAACTGTGCCAAGTCCCATTGAAACTAAGTGTAGGCTGTGTCTAGAGATGTAATTAGGCTAACAACCTCCTTTTCAAATAGACTGATAAACTCCTTTAGTTTGGTTTTCCCACTGAATACGAAAAGTAGAAAATCGTTCAAGCCCTAACGGGCTAGTAAGCCTTTACTTTGTTTTTTGCCTGGGCTCTTCTCGACCTGCCCTGACTGTGCCACATTTGATTGCGTTTTATATGATACTGTTGATGACCGTACACGTGCAGTGACCTTCACGTCTCCATCGTCTTCCTAAAATAGTATATTTGATATCTGATAATTTTGGACCTAAAACTACTACAGTACTGGAAAAGGATGTTTACTGCTAAGTTGATGGGGTTACAAACAAGTTTTTAA